TTTAAAGTTTAAAAACTGGCTAAAGATTTATATTTATATTTTCACATCAGCATTGTGGGTCACTATTATAAATGACATTACTTATTCAAGGTCAGCTGGTATTATCTACCCTGATACTTAAAACCTTCTTATCTCAGGTCTTCCTTTCCAACTTATAATTATAAAGATCATTTTGCTTCCTTTCTGCAGGTTGAGGCAGTAAGTCTTACCTGCACTGCAAATAACCACTTCATGATACCTGGTATGTTGCTATGCATTTAAAATTTATCTTATTAATTCAAATAACTCTCATTGGACTAAAACTGTAGGCATACCATTATTAAATATCATCATCTTCTAGCAAATCAAAGCCAAAGTCTATAAAACTGACATTTTGCTTCCGTTTAAATAATACATTTTAGAGTAACCATTTAATTGAGCTTTCTATAGTGTTCTCTTTCAAATCAGAATTAGTGAAAAGGTGCTCAACATCACTAGTCTGAGGAAAATGAAATAGAGACCACGATGAGATACCACTTCACACCCACCAATATGGCTGTAATCAAAAAAGTAGACAATAACAAGTGTTGATAAGGATATAAAGAAATTTGAACCCTCATACATTGCTCGTGGGAATATAAAATAGCACAAAACTTTGGAAAATGATTTGGCTGGTCCTCAAAAAGTTTAAACACAGTTATCATATGACCCAGCCATTTCACTTCTAGGTGTATACCCAAGAGAAATGAAAATACATATCCACACAAAAACTTGTACAAAATGTTAATAGTAGCCAAAACATAGAAAACAACCCACATATCTACCAACAGATGAATGGATTAACAACATGCGGTATTTTCAAACAATGGAATATTATTTGGCCAAGAAAAGGAACGAAGTACTAATACATGCTAAACATGGATGATCCCTGAAAACATTAAATCAAAAAACTAATCGCAAGACCATACGTTATGTTCCATTTATATGAAATGTCCAGAATAGGCAAATCTATAGTCAGAAAGATGAGTTGTTATGTAGAACAAGGAGTAAGTCGGGATTGATGGGGAGGGGAGGAGAGGACTGGGGGTAACTGCTAATGAATATGGGATTTCTTTTTGGGTGATAAAAATAATTTAAAATTGATGTGGTAATGGTTGCACAACTCTAGTAAATATGCTAAAAACTGTTGTCTTGCACAATTTAAATGGACAAATTATATGGTATGTGAATTATCTCTCAATAAAGCTATTTTAAAAAATCAAAACATAACAAAACAGAATTTGGCATTCTTTCCATGGATAATAGACACTAATAAAAAGAATTGGCTGATTTAGCAAAACAAGGGTATTTGGCCTTTATTCCCCTTCCAGACATTGTTGCTTTTAGAGTATTTACAATTCTATCTGCTTATTCCATGTGATATGTAATTAGAGCTCAGAGCCACAACAGGAAATCCATAACAGTTCTTTAAACAAACTTAAAAAAAGTTTAATAACATTATCTAATAGTGTATTAAAGCACTGCTTTGATGCTATTTTGTGATCTTAAGCTCTTGCTTTCTATTTTGAAATAACAGAAGAGCTTATACAGATCATGTAAATTGATTTTACAAAACATTTTTCATTGAAAAAAAAGTCTATCATATTTAGGACAAAGTGAATAGTGTTCTTAGGTGTTTTTAAATCCCTGTGTAATTTATAATAGCTCTAGGGATTTAAACCACAAAATGCAGTCCTAACCATAAGAGCAGCACTTACATAAACCAAATTCAATTTAAATTAAATGAGCTTTTTAAAGACCAGGTCAACTGATCACTCAGGAATTGTTTACATACTGTAAATAAATTGTGTTTCTAAATTAGTTTCACATGCACTTTATTTCACCAACCAGCTCATACAACTCCAAGCTACCTAATCTCTCCCTTCTCAAGATATAAAACAAAATTCATCTCTTAAGTATTTTATATATCTTAGCTTTTAGCAGCTGCCTAAGGAAATTCTAAGCTCCTCTAAGGCAAGAGAGGACCTGGTCTTCAACTTCAACACCTCACAAATAACCTGTAATTATGTTTTTTTAAGGTTTAGGGGTTGGCCCAGTTCTCTTGTCAAGCTATACATACATATATTATATATATTGCTCATATGTATGGCTATGTTTGTGCATATTAATATCTACCAATCTGTATGATTAGCCCTCTACCTACCTTAGTTTTATATCATTTCCGCCACATAATATGTTGACTGCCCCCAAATCTTCAAAAGCTCTTGATTTTCTTCAGAATAACTTCCTGACTCCTTAGTGTGGATGTCAAAGCTCTTCACGGTCTTTCCCATCTCTTTTCTAGCGTGAGCTTCACATGCCAACACACCAATTACTCAAAGTTCCTCTTCCACTCTTACGGTGTCACACTTCCAGGCCTTTGCCGACTCTTGGACTGCTCTTCAGGCCATGAAAAGTCTGTTAATCTTTTAAAGACCCTGTAAAAAGTCATCTTGTCTATGCACCCTTCCTTACCAGGATTAACTTCTCCCTTTTAACTGCTCCCATGGCATTTTGGTATTATACCACTTATCACAGCTTGACTTATATGGCACCTGGAGATGTGTCTTTCTCTCCTATTATTCTCTGATGTTTGAGATTATTTTATTCATGAATTAACCCCCTAACAAAGGGCAATTGCATAACTCCCTCACCCTGTACAAAATACTCACTCAATAATTGAATTATTCTTAATTTCCCCACAACACCAAGAATAGTGTGGGACACACAGCAGCTAATCAATAAGAAATGTTGATTAATAGAATATAAGTTCTTGAAGGGAGGATTCAAATGCTCAATGACTGATTTTGGTGACAATTAAACCAAAGTGGTAAATCTTGACCTCCCCCCACCCCCCAAAAAATTTATTCTCTAAATTGTTCCTACACCGAAGTGGACTTAAATAACAATCATTTTAATGTACCGAAACGATTGACTAGTTTCCCTATATTGTTGTCATCGCTTCTTCTGGAATAAAACTATTATTACTTAAGGAAAATACATTAAAAATTTTTGGAAGTCAAATTCTTAAAATGTAGATGGATTTTTCACTGTTTAATTAATTCAAGCATTTACAACTTATTAGAACTGTCTATGAACCAGAAACAGAAAAGACGCTAGATCATAAAATGAATAAGATATGGGCCCTGCTTTAAAAATGTTACAGTACACTGAGGGAGGAATCTCAAAGAAATCTGGATTTTGGTACTTCAGGAAAACTGGTACTAATTACTACATTGGTGAATCTGAAAGTTCTTTAAAATGTACTCTCATAGATTCAGGTTATACTATTTATGTTTTAATGTACATTTTAAAAAAGCCTAATATTTTCAGAAAAACATTTTGAATTTACCAAAGCAGCAAAAAAAACATAATTAGATGTTATGACTCCAGCAGCCACTAGAGTCAAGCAAAAGGTTTCCTAGCGTAAAATTCGGGAGGCACTCACGGTCAAAGTCATGCAAGTACAGGGTCCGCCTTAGACAAAAAAAGTACCTCTTTCAGTTTTGAACCCTAGGCACCTCTCCTGCTTCACCCTAGGTCTGGCCCAGCTATGAGTATTTAAGAAAATAATCATTTTGTGTTATACTTGGTTGTGTATACCTGGCATACGCTCCATAACAAATGATTTATAAATTATTTCTGGCTTACCAAAATGGGACTGTGAAAATACAGAGAGAATGAGTTACTACACAGAGTATGTCTACATTCTAGAGGAAGGGGTAGACACCAAGAGAAAGATGAAACATAGTTAGCATATTTAAATGATTACCAAGTTAAAAGCTTCCAACTATTCAGTTATAAGTAATTTCTACAACTAAACTGTTCTATTATCTGTAACCATTAACTTATGATTTTGCTTACTTCAAATAACTTTTTCATTGGAATTTTTCTAGCATCAATACTAAATGAACTGAATGGATAGTAATAAAAACACCAGAGAAGTTATATGCCACTATCAATACTCTTTCAAGACAGATCATTTTGGATTGGTCCTTGAGGATGAGTCTCTTCTTAGTACCTTAGTCTGGTTACTACTGATGGTCATTCAGGAACAAATATGGAAATTCTAAATGCATTCACAGGAATATAACTGAATAACTGAACAAAGTTTTATTAAATTAACTAATTAATTTAAATTAGTTATTCTGAAAACCAAAACATTAATAAATATGAAGTGTTAAATCACTTAGATTCAAAAGACATTGACATCAAGTAGAAAATACTTTCCTATTAAAGTCATGAGAACTTGAAATCCACCTGTTACCACTGCATCTGGTAGTTCAATGTTCAATGTCAGATAAGATGGTAAAGAAGCTTCCTGAAAAGTTCCAAATACATATATAGTAAAACATTTTCCCCTATGTTGGCTTCATTCTATTTCTCCTTCTCTACACACGTTTGGGATGCTCAAGAGCTATCATCCACTTATTTTGGGTTGATAGATTTCTCCTTCTTTTGTTCCACTTTAAAATTGAAAATTTTAACCTACCAAAGTGTTAGGTATTGAAACTAAGAATCTCATATACAGCTGTCAACAGAGCCCAGGAAAGTTTCGTTATGACTGTGACTTATTTATAAAACTATCTGGGATGGTCCCTAAATGAGGTTTTGGATATTCTGCGGCAACAGCAGTGAAACAAAATCATTCCAAGCCACCATAAATGGTGGTCTGTGTAGAAAGATGTGTTTGCATTTTAAATGATAAAAAGGTCGAGGCTGCTCTTAAATCACATGACTGGATTTTCAAAATAAAACCTTCAAAATCATGAAAAATCTTTTTACTAGTGAAAAATGATAATTCTAGGAAAAATAGAATGACCCTAAATGACTTGACCATTTCCTCTTTGTTATAAATACCAATCTCTCTCGAATATATAACATTTTTATACTTATAACTCATAATTTATAACTTATAAAAACCTTAAGGCACCAAACCCAAATTAAAATATTTTACATGTGTAAATAAAGTCAACTGAGAACATAGTTTAATTGGATTTATTACCGCTGTGCCCCTAAAAGCTTTTCCTCCCCTACATGTGATACTTACAGACCTTACCTCCATACAAAGCAAAATATAAGCTTATGAAAATAAAGTTCATGGAGAATAATATCCTCCTGGTGACTGTAATCATTACTGAAAATGAGTTTCCATAAAAACATTTATTAAGAAATTCCAAGTTAATTTCATTGCTAGAGGTAATGCAAGAAACACATGAATAAATTCATTATGCTAGCCATTTTCTTATTTAAACTCTATAAAGAAATTTTTAATATGCATTGGCCTAAAATTTTCATTTTTGGATCAGCTATTTAATCTGTATTGGAGAGATCGAGATTCATGAATAAATTATATAATCTCACTTTTTAAAAAAAATACAGCAATCTAAACTTTTAGTTCTTCAGTATCTTGAGTAAAGAGTTCAGATAAACATCATTCATGCAAACTTTCCTCCATCCTTTATTGAGTGATTATCTAGGCTCTCTGAGTCATCTTCTTCAGAGTAAAATGAATAATTATTTTCATCAAAATTTATAAAATTGCATGAAAAGCACGTTATAAATCCTAAAAACCAAGACACTACATAGCAAACTTAAGATTATTTTTTTATTTAAGTGTACTTATATGAAAGTTTTATCACATAAAAATATCCCCCATATTAAATAATTTCAAAGATACATAATTACTTATATAAGTTTTCAATCTAGTTATCTATTATAGTGAATCTTTTTGGTCCCCGAACCTGCCTTTATTTCCTCTTAAGGCTGGATGCAGAATATAATTGCCCCCATGGGGAGGGGCAAGAATCAAGGATACTAGGGAGACCAGTCTCAGTTATCACTGATGATGCTGAGAGGCACTCAGCACCATGAACACATTATTTAAACGTAAATAAGAAAATAAGCTAAATGCATGACCTTCGTGAGTTTTTGCACATAAAGTATATTTCATACCATTAAAAATTTAACTACTAACAAATTATACACCTAAGTCCTTCCAGGTAACATCAATAATCAGCTTCCAGTTTCCATTCTTTAAAATATTTCTCCATGGTGCTCCTGGATTTCCAGGTGCCAACATTCACGGTAGGTATGATTTTCTGGGGCTTCAGCCACTGAACAAACCGTTTCATTTCTAGGTAGCTGCTGTGTTCACTATAAGGAATTCCTGGAACACACAAAAAAAGATATTGCCTACTAAAAATCGAATTAATTTTTTTTAAATGTACAAGCCCAAAATAAAATAAAGTAGAAAAGGAAAGCAATCCAGAGTATTTTTGTCAAAACCCCCTTGATGCTTTATTTCTGTTTTAAAAAAAAATCGTTATTTTATGGATTAAACATTAAAATATGAAAGCTTTGAACATTAAAAGAATCCATTTTCTTTGTAGACAATAATATGCATTTACATAGGTTCTTATTTATAATGAGGCTTTTCTTTTTAAATAATTCTTCCATTTGAGCACTTAGCTCAGCTGTGAATTTCAGAAAAATCATGGAAGAAATATGAGTAAATTTTGAAGAACAATAAGCAGGAGACTCTTGATCTCCAGAACAAGTAAGCCGATTCCAGTTTCCGAGCTTCGTCTACATAAAAAATAAGCAAAAAGAAAAAAATGAAATCCTAAAAATCCCTTGATCTTCCTTACTGAAGATCAAGTACCATGGTGAAAAGAGGGTCCTGTTCTGAGTAAATGAGGGTCTTCAGAGGCTGAAAGTCACCAGACTAGTGACATATCAAAACTGTTTCCATCAGCCATTCATGTAATAAGCCAATTTTTGAGGACAATGGTAAAGCTCCTCCAAGAAATGAAAAATTTCACATCTATAACTCTGGTTGTCATCATTTCTAATCCATTGTCACAGTGTCATCTAAACTTCCAGTACACAGTGGTGCCATCCCTCCCTTCGAGTAGTTCTATAATTTTCTCTACGTATCACTGGTCGCAAATAAATGATCTGTATTAGCCATGTCTATTTACTATGATCATACTCCTTTATATCAGTTCGCAATGAATTAAATAGGTTTAGAGTACACAGAGCGATTTGAAACTCTTGAATTATTAAAGATTCTTTCGTGCCTGTTTTCCTCGCATTTTAATTTTCCAGCTCTTCTTAAAAATGTAAAGTAATTACAAACATTAAAAGTGAGAAAATTTAATAGTTATACCATATATTGCAATGTTTCCTTTGGTCTGGGGAATAACATCTGCTATACTCGTTAACTTATTAGAATGTGTCCATCCTGTAGGTCGAAAAGCCAAAATCTGATCATATCTCCCATCACACGTCTTCAAATGACTCTGTAAACCCTGGTAAGTAAAAACAGGATATTGATTTAATGATCAGTGAAGACGGGTTATATGAATAAAACAGAATGATTAAAGATGTTCCATCGGCACAGTCCCAGAGAGTTTCCACTTGGTAAGCATTAGCTTGCAACAATCTAGCTCGTGCTTCCAAATAAATAAAATCACTAGGGGGAAAAAAAAAATCTTTTCCCATTTCCTTATCTAAACTTAAACATGCTTGAGTACATGTTTTAAAAAAAGTAAGATGAGGCAACTTTAAACTTAAGTAATTGTGTATTTTAAAAATTACAATTCGGATAGCTACTAAAAAAAACCTCTCCAAATCCTACTACTACGAGGATGTTAATATTAGAGATACTAGTATGTATCTAACAGAATTCCTATTACAGCTAATATTATTACCATTGGCAAACATTAATCCAAACATATCCCCATACATTACACCAAAAGAGAACTGACAGATGGATAGTGAGAGGGAAATAATTTTATGTACTCGACAAAAGACATACATTTTAAGGATGCATAGCAGTAGTCTCCTCAGGAATTCTTTCCGCCTTTAAATACGAACTAGAAAATATTAAAACTTCTCATGCTGCTACAATTGGAAGTAATGTGCTTCCCTAACAAATCAGGAATAGGATACAGAACTTTCCAAACTAAAGTCATTATAAGTGATGACATTTGATAAAATTCTTAGAAATTCAATAACCAAAGTTCAATCTTTGAAAGATAAAAGAAATCCAATTAAAGATAATAACAGCACAAAGAATATAAAAAAAGTCTAACACTTTGGTCTTAAGCCTATACCCAGAGTTACAAAGCCTTAGTGTAAATTTATAATAAAATTCTAGTTTTATTTTAAAATAAAAAACCTGAACTGCACACAGTGTCATCTTGGATTTCCAAGTCTCCTTTTTTTTCCTAAATCATACATTCTCTGAACTATTATCTAAAAGATGCTGGTATCTATTCATCCATCTACCTGTTCACTCGTCCAGTAAATATCTGCTCCACTATTAAGGCCAGGTGCTGGTGTCAGAGTGGTAGAGGACAGACACAGCCTTCACCTTCTGGAAGCTGACAGCCTAAGGGACAGACAGTCCAGAAACCCTACCTTCTGAGTCTTTTTTTCCCCCATGGAAACCATCTGCCCTTTCTTAACGTTTTCTAACTCTCATCATCTATTTCTCCATCAGCACCTAGGAGCCTTACAGATTGACCTCTTCACAAAGGACTCATTTTTTAGTATAAATTCCTAAAAATGGAATTGTTGAGTTAAAGGATTAACCCCTAATTTCTACTATTATCCAAGTGGATGAGAGTGCAAATTTCTCTGAATGTCGACACAGAAATACTACCTTTTAAAAAATGGTAGAATCTGGTAGAAGCCAAATATATCATTGTTGTTTTACTTTTATTTTTGATTACTAGTAAGAGGCTGAACATTTTATTTTTATCAGATATTTATATTTCACTGATGAATAACAATCATTTCTTTGTATCAAACAATGACTTTTTATTAATTTGAAGTCAATACAAGAATACTTAGTCATTTCTTACCAGTCATATTTCTTACCAACTACTGACCTCCCCCTAGCTAACGTAATGCTACTTGCTCAATTACTAATCTTACTCCCCTTGTCCTCACAAATAGGAAACTGAGGTTTACAGCAATTATACATGTAATACCACAACTTTCAATATAGGTATCAAACTTATCCATTCTTACTTGTCTCTGCAAAAACACTCAGGAGAATTAAATGAGAAGTAACTTCTGCTTTTCATGAGACAAATTAGTTAACACAAAAATACCATTAACCTGTGCCACAAACAAAAACATACGGCATTATCACATAAGCCAAACATACAGAAAGATCTGCCAATGGCCACTAGTCATTCATTAACCACACACAACTGGAGAACCACTATCATGGGTAATTTGATTTATTCAGCATAAAGTTCTATGACTTTGTCTCCCTGTTTATTGGTAACCAGTTTGTGATGAAAACGCTTTTGGTATATGCCACTAGGACTTTTTTTCAGTATGCAAGTAATCATCTGTAAGATTACTGTCATAATGTTTTACCATATTCAGTGAATCAAGTTTAAATCAGGGTGGTAGTCAACTTTAATATTACATACATAAATTTGAGTTGTTGAACTAAATAGCATGAAAGGTATTACTCATAGGGTTTAAGGCTTTCAAGCATGTCTTAGAAACTCTGGAAACTCTATCAGGATATATTTTCAAAAAAGTCATTAGCTCTGATGCAACAAAACTATTTTTGGCTGGTAAAAAAAAAGCTTCAAGTACTAGCTAAAATATAGCTTCATGGTAACCAGCAGCTTCTGCTCCATCTGTGTTTTGAAGATAAGAAATCGTCAAAAATGTCATTAACATCTGGTTAACTTTATTGGAGGAAGAGGAAGGTCTCCTGAAGGCAATACCAACAACAGATGACAAATACAGAAAAAAACAATGATTTCACATCATTCTTTTTTCAAAAACGCTAGCTTCAAAAACAACAACAAAAACACCAAACAGGTTCAAATGAACATTTCTGAGACGTTAAAACTGATCTGAATTCCTGGATAAAAAATTGTACTTGGGTTTATTATTTGAAGATTTAATTCTTAAGTTTGGATCTACATATATATGATCTCTAAAAGAAAGTAATGTGTATCAGTACAAACAACCTATAAATTTATATGTTGCAAGGGAATTGTCAGAGAGGAAGAGGAGGCCCTCTTCCTGTTTGAGGCTAATGAATCCCTCTACCTCTATTTCCAGATCCTTCTCAGAAAGTTAACTTCATTAATTGTTCTCCTCTCTCATGTATCTTCGCTTTCTCCATATCACTGTGTAAAAACCCTCATCTCTTACAGCTAACAAACTCCCTTTTGTGCACCTCCCCCTGGCTGTGAACACATGTGGCTCCTCTTCACAGCCATGCTCTATTGCTGCTTCTCTCCTGTCCCTCACCTTCCATTCGTTCATTCATTCATGTTTTTGTCTTCGAGGCAGACACTTCAGTGGTTTTTAGTATATTCACAAAGTTGTATGGCCATCACAACTATCTAATTCTAGGACATTTTCAGCACCCGAAAAAGAAACACCGTACCCATCAGCACTCTCCATTCCCTCTTCCTCAAGCCTTGACAACCAGCGATCTACTTACTGCCTCTACAGTTTTACCAATTCTGGACATTTCATATAAATGGAATCATATAAAATATAGCCTTTTGTGACCTGGCTTCTTTCGCTTGGTATAACGTTCTCAAGGTTCATTTACAGAGTAGTATGTTTAGTACTCCATTCGTTTTTATAGCTGAATAATATTTCCATTTTATGGACATGTCACATTTTGTTTGTCATCATTTGATTGGCATTTGAGTTGTTTCTACTTTTCGGCTATTATAAATGATGATATTATGAAATTTTTCAATTTTCTTGGCCACATACCTAGGACTGGAATTGCTGGTGATATGGTCACTCCATGTCTAACTTTTTAAGAAATTATCAAACTGTTTTCCATAGCGGCTGCGCCACTTTGCAAGCTTCCAATTTCACCAAGCTTCCAATTTCTCCACGTCCTCACCAACAACTGGCACGCTCTCTCTCTTTTTTTTAATATAGCTATCCTTGTAAGTGTGAAGTGCTGTCTCACTGTGGTTTTGATTTGCAGTCCCTGATGGCTAACAATATTGAGCCTCTTTTCATGGGCTTATTGGCCATTTGTGTATGTTCTCACTCAGGTGGTCATCTGTATACCTTCTCATCCATTCCTCAGCCCTCTGCCGTCTGGCTTCCTCTAACATCTTTTCACTGAATCGGTTCTTGTACAGGTCACCAAAGATATTCTAATTGTCAAATTGCCATTCTCTCCTCACGTGACCTCTCTGCGGCATATGGCATCTTGAAACACTTTCTTAAAAAGCTTTAGTCCTTTCATTTCCATAAAACTGACTCCTCCACTTCCACTGTCCTCCTAAATGGATAATTTATTCAAATAGAACAAACTAAGGAGGAAATAAAACTAACACAAAAATAATACAAATATGTTATAGCTTCCTTGGGACATTTGTGTTTATTTTATGATTAATCAACATCTCATTAGCTCCACACAAATTGGATGCCTCCCAAATTTAAAACAAGTTTGCAAGGCTGGCTAAAACACCAATGGACCAAACTCTGACCTGATTATCCCTCAAATTTCTTACGAATTATATACCCATGAAAATAGGCCATAAAAATTTTACCCTAATCTCATGAAGAAAGGAGTAATTATAGCAGTTAGAATTTCCTTATTCAAGGGATAGATCTCAAATATTTACTTTCTTTATACAATAGAAGTATTATTATTTATAAGATAGATACAGTAATCAGCATCCTAGGCTATTTCAAAAAGTTCCATAAAAATTATTTCACGGATGTCAGAGCAAGAGTGAAAATACATTTTCTGTGTACAGTATATTTTGAATAGTTTTTAATACACGGGTTTGATGTATTCCATTGCTGGGTGTCAAAATGTCAGCAAATGGAATAAATCTTAGTATATAAATAAATCTGACAAATAAGCCCTCTGAATCACAGTGAAGTCACATCTTATATATCTCAATTTATACCTCAGAACTAACACTAGAACTTCCTATTAGGATGTGCCTCAGTATTATATTTAATTCTCACAAGTAAATTTCTAACAGATATCAATATTATAGGGGCTTAATATTAACACAGAATAGATCTGAAGAAAAGTAAGAACTTCTCAGAATTCTCCACTCCTTTCTCCACTCATCCAGGAAGAACTGGAAAACGAGCTTAAGAACAGGTCTGAATGACCAGACAGTTGTATATTTTTCTACTTTTGTTTCTTCCCTTATGACAGCTCACTAGTTCCCAAACTCCTGGTGGGCATATGAATTATTATAGAGCTGCATCCACAAAAAACTAACATTTTAAATTCCCCTTAAGAAATTTTCTAGGGCAAAGTTTACCATAGGTGATTTCGTTATAAATGAATTCCTCTATGTGAAATGCAGGTAAATGGCATTCTAGTTTACGATCATCAGATCACCTTTTCTAGTTCATCCTCAAAAGATATACCTCTGGAATGCTTACCTTAAAATTAATTTTCATCATTGGAAGAAGGTGAACCAGTGAACTGCACATGTCTGTAGTGATGAGGGAATTAATTTCTGGTATATTGAGGCACTGTAATGTTTTATATTTTTCTTTGGACATGCCCACTTTAGAACCTAAAACATCAGCAATGGCTGTAGGCAAAGGAAAAGGTTAAAAATAGTAAAATTACAGCTTATAAGAAAAATAATAAAATTACAACTTAAATTTTAAAATAAAGATTTACCAAATAAAAAGAAATGTAAAACATTTACATTGTCATAATATCACAAAAAGGCTGAATAATTTTGTTAGTTGACTGTGTGGAATAAATTGTGGGAAAACCAAGGAATTTATTTTTTAAAACCTAGTATTTAAAAACTGCAAAATATGTATAGAAAGGGGTAGAAGGATGGAAGAAACCAAATTTAGAGGAGTTAAAACCCTGGCTTCATCATTACATATCTTAATGTTTGACATCATGTGACCATAGTTAAGAAGAAATGGAAAATACTGTACAAAATAACACAAAACTATCTAGACAAACTATAGTTAACATATCCAAAAATCATTTAGGAACAAAAATGAAAAGTATTCTCTAAGAATTGATGGTTTTCATCAAAGAATGCAGTAATACAACTATGCACTAGTCATCTTTCAAAGTTTATTTAAATACTAATGTAGCGTGGGCATTTGCTCTATAAACATTTTGTAGGTATAAAGGCTGCCATAAACACACTTACCAAATGCTTCCATTAGGTTAAGCCTTTCAAAGTGTAAATGAATCAGACTGTATCAAATTTTCCTTCAACTTCGAAGGTAATATTGAATCATTTCAGGAAATAAATATCAAGTACAAGAATAGAGACTGACAGGGCTTTATGCAAAAAGAAGCTGATCTTTATAATATATTAATGTAAATTAGATACAGCTAACACCCACCTAGGAAGACTTTCTCTTTTCCAATAGAATAAGTGCCACAGACAACAAGAGTCCGTGGGTTTAGAGTTACAGCCTCAAAGGCAGTGTTGACGGCAAACTGGATCACCTCTTGCTGAGACGGAAAGGAGTATTCTGGGCTACAGTATCTGTAATATGGAAATGTGGTACTTATTAAAAAGAGCAACAAGAAAGCCATAGCATTAAATTAGATGCTATTTTAAAAAATAAGCTTTAGCAATATTACACATAACAGCAGTATAATATACTTACACCACTGCAAGTTATCTCATTGCCTATGATTAAAATATTTACCAGCTATTGATAATTTATGATTGAAGTATGCATTTTCAGTATACTTTTTTTCACTGTTTCTTTTACCACCTTCGAATAAAAAAAAACTGCCTTTTTTTCTTCAAGTATATTTCTAGCCAGCCAACTCTTTTAGCTGTGAATTATAAACCTCAATATCTTTTTTTTAATTTTTTAAATCATTATCAAATAAAATACTATAAATAGGAATTATTTTTGGACTAAAGTCTAATATAGTAAAGAAAATTATTAAAATAATGAAACAAAACATGAATTTAGTGTAGTTTTAAGTCAGTTAACATTCGCATAGTTGTTCTCTTCTTAGAAGATATAGAAATATATATAGCATTACAGGAATATAACAAATCCAGTTGGGTCTACTTCAAAACAATAACACCCAATGAAAAACTAACCCTATATATAGACAACTTTATATATATTTGAAATGAAAATTAAGTGTTTTATCACTAAAAAAGTCATACAGTACAAACACCAAAGAAATATTTTCCCAATTTTCAAAATTGTTTTGCTGGTCAGCCATCGGAATAGAGAAACAATTTTGTCTTTTCTCTTATAAAAACCCAAAGAAATTCAGAATTGTATACAAAATAGTACTAAGTAACAAGAAAAGGTTTCTTTTTTTTAAAAAAACAAACTTATTTTCTTAATATATCTAGTATTTAATATGTACATACAAAATGGAAAAATTAGTGTTAGCAAATTGGATGTGAAAAGACCATCTTTTACTAAAACATGCCATACAAACTCACTTCTCCTTGAAACAGGCTGAAATAGGTAACATAATTTGTAACAAATTGCTGAGGTACTTTAATAATAAAAAAATTTTGGTTTATACCATTATGTTTATAGCACTTAGTAAGTCAAAGTTGTCACTTATGAATTACCTTTTTGAGAAAAGCGCAAATTCTGAATACTCTGAAATAGAATCGTATTTTGGCCTCAGTTTTCAGTTATACTTAATAGTTACAGATACCTTGAAAGGATAACCTTAAAAAGGTGCTTTCCTAAAATCTGACCCCCAAATTTTCCTCCTTGTTTCAATAATAGGATTCCCAGACAAACCATGTTTTCAAAAGGAAATTTAAAAAAAAAATGAGCTATAGTCAGTTAAGACATGTAATCCCAACTTTGTCCTTAAGAAAATGTGTTTTTTTTTTTCAAACAGCATCCCTCTGATAAATAGCCTTGAAATGATCACTGACAAAAGCCATCATTTTGATTAGCTAAACAAATGTTCCAATTATTCATAATACACAGGGCAAATGTTGTCATGGGAAAAAGCAGCACACAAAGAAAGCCTCTCTTACGTGGTATCTAGGTAAAGCGTGTGGACTTTCTGGCCAGCAAGAAGAGAACGTTCCATGGTGGGATCTGCTCGGAAGTCTCCCGTGTGTAATGTGACATTACCATTAGGAAGATAAAAAAGGATCATGACGGCACCTGGACAGCTGAACACAAACATGTCAAAAATATTCTTAACACGGGCAAAGCAACTAAAGGAAGAGTACTTATTTCAATATCAAGTTAGTATACTTTATTAGCTGATCACAATGACAAAGCATTATACTATAGAAAATCTAGCACTTTAAGGAAATTTAAATCATAAAAATTGGTGTGCTGGAAGGGATTAATTCAGTAGCCCTGGGTTGCTCAAACAGCACACATTCCCAGGAAAGGCCTGTCTTTAAGACTAGCTCTTGGGAGATGAGTTCTGAGTGCTTGGAATATTCCGCTCATAAGAGTGCATTGTGCATGCCTGAGGCACTGGGCCATGTGTTACCAGTGTCATCAGGCAGTTTATGCTAACAATGTGATCTGCAGCGATTGCTTGTTTTTGCTGTAAGGAACTGGAGTCTAAGTAGCTTGAGGTCAGTCACGTGGTATTCCATGCATCCTTGACTGGTCCTCAATAAAAACCCTGAACAAGGCTCCAGTGAGCTTCCCTGATTGGCAACACTTCATGTGTTGTTACATGTTGTTGCTGAGAAAATTAAGCACGTCTGTGCCACTCCACTAGAAGAGAACACCTGGAAACTGTGCCTAGTTTCTCCTGGGTTCATTCCCATTTGCTTTTTCCCTTTGCTAATTTTAATCTGTAATAAGCTGTAACCACAAGTTTAACAGCTTTGCTGAGTCCCGTGAGTCCTCCTAGTGAACCACTGAGTTTAAAGATGGTCTTGGGGACCCCTGACACAATGGGGTTTGGAAATTACTGCCAAAGTACAAGGAACTTTAATTTTGAATTTTAAGAAAACACAAGAAATAATTACATTTGTAATAAAAACTGTCCCCTTACCTCCCTGTCCCAAAACTTCAGACCCTAATGATTTTACTGGGAAATTCTATCACACATTTTAGGAAGAAATAATACCAATACTACACGACATCTTTCAGAAAATAAAGAAGGGCCGGTATTACCCTGAAATCAAAACTAGACAAAAGCAATATAAAAAATATAGACCAATACCCATCATGAAAAGGCATAAAATTCCTTAACAAAATATTAGCATATCAAATCCAACAAATTTTTAAAAAAAGAGTAATAACATGAAGACTGAGTGGGGTTTATCACAGCAATGCAAGGCTGGCTTAACGTTAAAAAAGTCTATCATTGCAATTTACCATGTTAACATTATAAAGGAGAAAAATTATATAATCATCTCAATAGATACACTGAAAGCTTTTCTCCTTAAGATCAGGAGCAAAGCAGTATGTCTGCTCTCACCACTCCTACTCAACATTGTACTAAAGGTGTAAGCCTGTACAATAAAGGAGAGAAAAAAAACATCCCAAATGGAAAGTAAAAAGTAAAACAAAATTGTCTTTATTCACAGATGACATGATCGTACATGCAGAAAAATTTTCAAGAATATACAAAAAAACCTACAACTAATGAGCAAGTCTGGCAAGATCTCAGGATACAAAGTCAATAAACTAAAATCAATGGTACATCGAGAGTTCAGTGGATAAACAAACTGTAGTGTGTCCTTACAAGAGATACGACTTGGTAATAAAAAGGAATACACTACTAATATATAATATACACAATGCATGAACGACTCTCAAAAACATGATAAGTAACAGAAACTGGACATAAAAGAGCAGATATTCTATGATTTCATTTAGATGAATCCCTAAGAAAGACAAATCTAATCCATAGTGCTAAGAAATAGATCAGTGTTTTTCTGGGCCAGACGACTGACTGAAAGAACACAGGAACATTTTGGAAAATGTTTCTATATTTTTATCATGGCAGGAATTACACGGGTGTGCACTTTTGTCAAAACACAGCAAACAGTTAAAATGGGTCATTTATGTAAATTATACCTGAATAAAGCCGACCAAAAAAAAAAAAATCAGAACGTGAGTTGTCCTAACCAGTGATTAAAAAAAGAAACAGCAGCAAAATTAGCAGACGATAACTTCAAGGCAAACTGAAGAAAGATACTGGCCTAGATTTTAGGAATCCTAGATTTGTCTTAATTTGAATTCTCGAAGCATCTATGATTTCTAAGGTACATGAGGCTACCAGTCTATGAAAAAAAAGTAAAAAGCATAGTTGAAAGTTGCATTTTTGCAATGTGAATACTGATAGTACTTTAAATTTTTTTAAAAATGAGAGAAAGAGGAAAACCTGCATTTCCAAGAAAAAAATCTTCCAAGTCTTTAGTATCAAAGACTAAAGAATTACTTAAAGGGAAAAAGAAAATCCTGATATCTTAATGAAGTACAAGCTGCTAATTTATATGTGACATTAAAGGAAATGGTAAAAGGTTATCTCTTAAAAACAGCAGTAATATGTTAACGTATCTTTTTTTTTTTTAAGGAGTCTCATGTCAAGCATAGTAATTTAAATTGGATTAAAAAAATGGGTTCGATAACAGAAGATCTCTACATTTACACTCTGATTCTGTAATTGGGTACACTATTTTTTTTTTTCAAAAGGAGAAACGTGTTTAACTCAAGTTTTAGGAAATATCAAGCCTATTCCAAGAAAAAAGTTCTTAAATAACCATGCTAACGTGTTTTCCTTTTGAATATTTAAAAAATAGGCTGTTATTAAAATAACTTTAATACTTACTGATTGGCATCAAGCAAAACAACTTTGACACCATTCACTACACATTCAGTGTCCACTGGCAATGAATGGATATATTGTTCTTGCACATGAAGTTTGCTCTTCAACAAATTGCCAGTTATCTGCAAAACAGGACGTGCTTATCTTTGATCCAGCAAAATACTAAATATTTTATTTCCTATCTAGTTTAGAACCTAAGCATCTTAATCATCTCCCTGCTCTCCCACTTAATATTCAATGTAAACCCTCCAGAGTGCCAGGAAAAACTTCCTAAAATGACTGTCATGATTCTGCTTAAACAATATCACCAGCTCTTACTCACCTATGAAAAGTCTATCCCTGGCATGACAAACAGTTCATGATCTGACCCCTGCAGGTTTACCTCCTGTTATTTCCTATGTCTTATTTAGCCATTCTGAAATATTTGAAGTGGCGGCGATGGTTCTATTTCCCAGATGTCTGTGCCTTTATAACAAACTCTACTGTCTACTTGGAATGTTCTCCTCTCTTTCATCTGCCTGGTTCTGATATCAGACAGAGCTGTATTCAAATTCTGGCTCTGCCATTACTAGCTCCATGAGTTGGGGCATGTCACTTAACCTTTCCAAGCCTCAGTTGTTTGTAAAAAGGATAATTCAAGAATGCTTGAAGATTTAATCAAATTCTACCAAAGCCCTTAGTGGTAGGCATTGAAATGTTCCCCTTTCAATAATCAGTTCACACTGTCTCATCATGAAGCCTTCTTTAACCTGACCTGGGATAGCGTAAAGCATTCCTTTCTCTCCCTTCTGGGCATTCTGTTCACTTTCCTATTACAATACTGATCCCATCCTGGTATTATTTATGAATGTGTTCCCTAAAGGCTGTAAGCTCCTTAGGTATTTTGCCTTGAATATTTTTTACACACTCGATAAATGATTATTAAATGAAACTTAGGTTTTTTTTAGTACATTGTGAACTAGTTTATTGTTTCCATACAACAAAGCATATATTAAAAAAAACTATTGTAACAACTGACAATAACACATTTTAGAATCTCAATGTGGAATCTGTTTTCTCATACGTCGTCTAGTAGAATGATAGATCTTATACTTTTAATGATTCTTTTTTAACCAAATTGCTTAGAAATTCATTGCATTCTATAAATTCAGAATTTGAAATACTAAAACTTACCTCACTACAATAAACAGGAAATGTGAAGTTTTTAGACAATCCAGCATAATGATCAGAATGAAAATGTGTGAGAAAATAGGCTGTACAACCTTCAACCAACCCATACTGAAAGGCATCAACTGTAAAGCTAGTTCCTGCAATGAAAACACCAACACAGCTGTTTGAGCAATAGCTAACAAAGTAAAAGATATCCAATTTGATGATAAACACTTAACCCTCTAACATCTTCACATTTCACCGCTAATTTAACTTTATAATTTAAAACTTATACCACGTTAATTCAGCAAAAGGTGATACTAGAGATGAAAATGAGTCTTGTCAGTTTCTACTAAAAATCCCAGTATAGGCTTATTAAAAATGAATAACTATACAAAAAAAAGCCAAAATGCGAAGGTACAAAACGATTACATCTTTGTTTTATTTTGAACATGATTTCTTTGAATATTTTCCTGATACTTACTGGACCCCAAAATTCCTTTACTTCTGCAAAACAGCAAAGGAGAATGCTAACTTCTAAAAAGTGAATTCTCGGTGGGGGATAGTGATATGCTTCTAAGGGGATAAAAAGGATTGAAGACTCAAAATATCTTACATATCACAATAGTTTGTGGCCCTCCAAAGGGCCACAGTACAGTAACAGAAAAACAGTATATCAGTATTTCATTGCTGGGGGTGGCGGGATGGAGGAGAGGGAGGGAGGCAAGAAAAAAAATGCCTAAAAAACAATCCCTAGAGAAGTAATAGTAATAATAAGGTTGAGCTATTCAAAAATGTATTCATGAAATATCCAAGTATGCTGACTGTGACATGCAAGTAAAAAGCAAACCTTCGCAATTCTATTCAGATTTATCAACACATGGCATACCAATTCACTGAAAACACAGAAATTCAATCGGAACAATTATGAAAAACAAAACTAGTAGTATAATGTACATAAGTGCTTTCTCTAAATATTTTGAACAAATTATAGCTGTAGAACAGCAATAAAACACTCTTCAAAATCTTTCTGCAACCAAATGTATTTTGGCAGTTTTATTTTATTTTTTTTTCAGAAGTTATTGGTTTCTTTAACAATAAAATTAATTTCACCACAGATTTTTCTACTAACTCATCTATAAATGCACGAGAAACCACTGTGAAAAGCCTGAAAAACTAAGTTATTCTATGGTTTTAAAATGTCTGGCATTTATGACCTGTACGACCTGTGGCATTTTCCTTCTTTGAAGCTATTTAGTTCTTTGCATTTCTCTTAAGTGCTTAGAGACTGTCTTTTATTTGTTACTTACAGAGAGCACTTCCTCTTTCTGTATTAAGCTGATGTTTACTAGTCTGTCAAATCTGTAATAGTTACACACTATGTATAGTATCTTCCTTCCATATAGAATGTTTAATAAAATTTTACTGAATGGAGGGAAAACGATTAAATACATACACATACACACACACACACACACACACACACACACACAAAATCTATGTTACAAGTTGATGAAGTATAAAAACAAAGGAAACAAAAAATTGTTTCATGTACAAACATACAACATGGGCAACGAATGTGAAATTCAAAAAAGTTCATTCTCTGTACATACATTAAGCATTGATATTTCAGCTTACCAGGTATTTTCTTATAGAATGGACATGTCCTTTTTCTCAATTCTCCTGCATTAGATGACTCTGGGATTTTCATGTTGCCTCTGTGCAGCCCGCCAGAAGCTGATTTTATGAAGACTTTCTCTTTACTTAAACGGACTCTTCCAGCTTCTGTCCTGTTACTGAGGTGATCTGTCTTCTGTGTTTCTTCCTGTAGTGAATCTGACTTTTTACGTCTCTTTCTTTGCCACTGTAATCTTTTACTAGGAAGTTCCACAGATTGCCAATTCTCATGTAAACTCTTTGCATCAAGTTCTAAATCACTTAGAGATTTTTCTGCTTTTCTCTTGCGCTGCCGGGACCTCCTTTCCTTAGGACTTACGACGGGATTTAAGTCCATCCCTTCTAATGCACTTTCCCTCATCGATTTCTCTTCTTTTCTTTTGGGTGGTAGACCAAAATACACACCTATATCCATTTGCTTCATTACCTTGGTAGAAGGTTGTGTTACATTACACTTAGGACTAGATGGCAACATTTTCAAAGACTTTGCAGCAGTAGGTGTGCTAGAAAATGTTTCTGCATTTAAAACCATAGCTTTACTGCCTAGCATACCATCTAATGCCTTTCTGCAGGAACATACTAAGCTGGTACTGTTCTTAGCACTGAAGTTCTTACTTGATAATTCTCTAACTTTACTTTGGGTTGGATGGAAAGAATGACACCCTCCTCCCTGGCTTTCAAAAGATTTTGACAGTTCACTTTCAATTAATGGAAGAGAAATTTGATTATAAACAGCTGATTCTTCAGTTACCTGTTTCTGTTTATTTGACAGACATAAGTGAAATTGTGGCTCATCAGCTTTTGCCTTAGTGGCTTGATAACTAGAAGCAAGCTCCCCTGCTAATGCAGGTGGAAACAATAAAAAATTATCATCGGTATTTGCTAGATCATGATGCAAAATAATGCCCTCATTTTGGAAAATAAGTTGAGACGGATCATTTAGAGTTTTGTTATTATACAATTCCTCATTGTATGTATCTTGAGTTAAGAAGCTATTCACTTTGGGGCAGCTCTTCTCCTGGTCCTTCAGTAAGGGACCATGGAATTTTTCAAACAAACTACAGCTGTTGTCATCTTCCTCTAGGCTGCCATCTTTAGAGTTTTCTGTAAAAAATAGTTCAGGTTGTGAATCATCCAGCTTTCCATTTATATCGTAAGTTTCGTCATCACTTTGAAGTGGAGAATAGGAGATATCGCAGTCGCTAAAATCATTCTTTGGCAATGGCAAATTTATGTGTTCTGAATTGTTTTGGCTACCTAATTCTTCAGCAAGAGGCAAACCAATTCCTACCAGTTTGTTATTATTTACACATTGCACAAATTGTGGAGCTTGTTGGGATGTTTGGATATTTGTTGAAAAGGAAATTGTTTTATTGCTTTCAGTTGGAGACTGAGATTTTCTCAGACACTGTGTCATCATCAAGGGATCAGTTGAAACATGTTTTAAGTTCTCAGTTTGTTTCTGATACAGAGACCATCTTTCCTCAAGGTTACAAAGAAGGCCTGACTTAGTCTCACTATAACTACCAACTAACCCATGTGATGGACTGCTAACAGGACTATTACTAGCCCTGCTTTGAGCAAGCAGGAGGTGAGTGTATCTCTTGTAATGAGAAGGAATTGTTGAGGTACACAGAAGACCATCAGGACACTCTGAAAATTTTAATAAAGAAAAAGTATTATAGGATCAAACACAGACTAAGTTTTGACTGCATCAGCACTATACATTAACACATAAGTAGATAGTCATCAGCCCTACTTTGAGGCCTTAGGACAATAGCTATCTTTACACAAATCAAAAGGTCAGCATAAAATAACAGTAATCTAGTATGGTTTTTCAAGGTGCTAGTTATTATTTTTCAATCAAATACTCTTAAATTTCTTTTCAAATAATATTTTCTCAAAAAAATGTTTAAGACTAACACCTTTTTTCCCCCCCTAAGTAACTCTCACAATTATGAGGTCCTTCAAAATCCACGTCATGCTTGCATTACGTATTTCTTACACACATACTACAAACCGACACCATCAGTTTCACTAGTTCACTATCGCTCAGACAATAAAGAATAAAGGAGACTGGTATGCTTCTCAAAGAACTATAGTTCTACCCCAATTTTTACCTTATCAAGCAACACAGATTATGACAATTGTAGTACCGAACTGGATTCCATTATTTAATATTCACACTGAATACAATAACAATAATAATCTTAATTATATCTGTTCATACCCTGGCCAATTTAGAGTCTGTTCTAAGATGTGAAATTCAATTTGATAAATGTTAATAATAAGGTTTTAAGAATCTGGAAACCAAACCCCATCATATCATCATCGTTGAGAAATATTCTGTAAACCATCTTGGCATATTCCCTTGTATGTTCATTTTCAAGTTTATAAGAAAATGATCCCCCCACCCCCCGCCAAAAAAAAGATGTTACATTAAATTAGAAGACTACATTGCTTAAAACTTAAAATCACGTCATAACAGTATGTTATAGAGTTCAATTCAAGAAGAGTCCATCTGAGATTCTATTCAAAAGAGTATAGTCAGAAAAAAAAAAAAAAGCAAAGAAAAATCTCTGATGTGGCTTTATCTATAAGACATTTCACCCTGAGGTGTTGACCATGGGACTCCAAATTCTATTTCTGATTTTTAAGCCACTTAAAAGCAAATTACTAGCATTTGATGAAGCTTTCACTTGTTACACTTCTATAGAAAGGTTAATGCCAAATTTTAAAATAAGGTTTTTTTGCATCTTCAAGCAGACCTTTAAAATGATAACGAGGTTAATAATAAAATGTCTTCTGAGTCATATTTAACATGAAAGCCATACTTACTATTATTTTTATTTTACTGAATTTTAATTCTTTGAGATTTAAAAATCTATTTCTGGTATATGTAAGTTTAGAATACACAAATCATCATGATCCATTCTCTGCATACTCCAAGTTGGATTTTTTACATTTTTAACATGACATTTATTATATATTTTAAAAGATAAAAAACACGGCATTACTTTTGTTACAGACTGGTACATTTTTATTAAAATCTTAATAATCTAAGATTCTTTCTCAATACCTCCTACTGTGCATTAGTATGATGAATCTAACATAACCACATTTAGAGGACTGGACTATGTTCATAAGTCTCTAACTCCATTTCAAAAAAGAAAACAAAATGAGCAAGTTGTTTAACTTTCAAGAACCCACATCTATAAAATGTCAATACCACCTACCCTGTGCAGTCTTTGTGACAGTCAAGTAAGTAAACAGAGCGAAAGTATCTAGGATGGTATGTGCTCAATTAACATTTATGAAAAATAACAGATGTTTGGAGACTTTCATGAAATAAAATGCATTTAAACTGTTTTCAAGTTTGCGACATTCTTTACAATTATACCATCAACTTATCTTTTTATCCTTCTCAAGGGTAAATGCATTCCTTGTTTGCCCCTAGGGTCATTTATACTTACAGTGTCTCATCTCTTTGGTTTATTGGCGTATTGCTTGTTTCACTGGACTGATACGTCCCGCCTAATGCAGGTCTATTTAAAGACCACTATCCTTTTCGTAATCTTACCTGTTTCAGAGACTGGTGGAGAATCCAAACACTCAAAAACATGCCATCGAGGTGTTTGACCTAGCAATGAGGAAAAAGGCATCTGGCAGTTTGGACAGTACCCATCATAAACTGGACGTATCTTTGGAGATACTTTTTTGTTTCTGGGAGTCCTACAGTGCTTTCCTGGAGTGCCTTGGGACTGCTGGATACCATCTTCACAACTAGAATTCTGACTAGAAGCTACAGAAGGCTGACTACCTGTTTCTCTAAGACATATTTCAGGGTCCTTCGCCTTCTCTTCAGCTTCCACAATTCTTTTATTTCTGTTTCGTTTTGACCGTTTTTTCCCATCTATTGCTTTTTCAACAGATTTTGGAATATTCTCAGAGCAATTTTTTGGATGTATTGGTTTTAGTCTTCTTTTGGATTTGTATTCCCAAATGTCTTCTTCAGAAAAAGTATCTTCTAACATGGCAAAAATGATTTTTATCATTTAAGCACTAATCTTAATTAGAGAGTCCATTTCTCATAACAAAATTTTTTAATGGAATTATTTTGCTGACAAAAAGTAACGAAAATCTCACTAACCTGATGGGACTCTAAAGTGCTGGTAATAAATATACTGGCAAACTACAAACCTTATACCTGCTGTTCCATTTACACCACAATTAAAATTATGAGAACCTACCCAGGGGTAGCATCTAAGAAGTTTTCTATTGTGGCTACTATGTCATCCAGGTATCTTGGCCTTTTCCAGAATTTGATTCATAAGAATCATTTATACTTTGAAAATTAAGCTCTAAAGGGACTTTTAGAACGAGCTTTGTAAAATTGTTATAAAGCTCCTATCGGTTCAACTGGACATGGTTCAAGTAACTCACAAATCCATCGGTCCCTGGGCAACTGACTCAGCAGGTACAAACACTGAATGGCTACCATAGTTTGCTAATTAACATTAGTCATTCCATAATCAAATAAGTGTGTGTTTCGTAATAAACGTTAATTGCCCTTATCAATGCCTCGTAGATATTCAACAAACTTCAGTTTCCTGGGTACTCCACCATCTTGCTTCGGCAGCAACGAACAAACACTGCACAATAAACAAATAAAACTGAAATATGTGAAGTCGTGCCTGCACTGAGGCCAGCCACACTCTTAACTCTAGCCCTCCTCCCTCCACCAGCCCGATGCCTCCAGGGGCTCTACCTTCACCTTGGACCCAGGAGGGTGCAAAGTTAAGTGAGCGAGGCCTTACCATCTCCAGGGCAGGGAGCGAAAGAACTGCTAGCACAGCCCGCTCCATAAAAGCAATCACGGCCTTTCCCTCCTGGTGACAGAGGCGCGCCCTCAGGGATCCCCGCCGCCCACCTGCCACCACCATCCCCCTCCCCCAGCAGCTCCAGCTGCGTCCGCTCCCCTTCGCACCCCCTCCCTCCTGTTCGGCTGACAATCTATTCGCGCCCGCACTTTCAGTACTGCAGAGCTACGAAATATTGCTTTTGTGTGTAAGCCAAAACCATCTACCGATCCCTCTCAACTTTTAATAAAAAGCCCCTCCCCAGAGGATATCCCAGCTCCATTACCTTTCCTGTCTTGGCGGGAACTGCTTCCCCGCCGCCAATGCTGTGTCGAATCGGCTGGTCCCGGTCTAAGAGGCGGACTTTAAAAAAAATGAAAAAATTGAGCCCCCCCTTTTTTTTGTCCCATGGATTCATTCTTTTGTTCTAAACTCCGCTAATTTTCAAAGTGAAGGGTGGGGAATGATTCTCTCTGAGCTTTTAGAACGCTAACCCAGGGGGCTTTTTGTGTTGAATCTGGCGTTCTGAATGTCCAGCCTCAGCTGCGGCGAGAAGATCTAGAAGGGGCGGGGCGGTTTGGAGCGGTAGTTTAATTAGGCGCCCGGGAATTGCTGCGGTTTGCAGTCCTTTAGCACTTGAATGCACACTTACAGAAGGAAAAAGGGTCCTTAGTGTGGTTTGGGGCTGGTGGGGAGTAAGGTGAATGTGCCGTTGTGGAACCAAAGCACAGGAAGCGCTTCCTCTCATCCCCAAGGAGCCTATCCCGCGGGCCGCGGCCGCCTCTGGACGGTCCGGAGAGAACATGGCGGCCCCCGGAGCCCGGAGCTGCAGCCTCTCGGGCCTGCTCCCGGCTCAGACCTCGCTGGAGTACGCTCTGCTCGACGCCGTCACCCAGGAGGAGAAGAATAACCTGGTCTACCAATATCTGCAGAAGGTGGACGGCTGGGAGCAGGACTTGTTAGTGCCCGAGTTTCCGGAAGGTGAGGGCATGGCTTCGCGGCGGGGACCCCTCCCGGAACCGCCCCTTCCTCGGGGACGGCGCCCTCCCCGAAGCGGTGGGCGAGGCGCGGTGGCGCCGCTACTCCCGAGCCTGGCGCGTTGCCCGACCCCAGCTGCGGCTGGGGGGCTCTGCCATGCCCAGGTGTCCGGAAGCGGCGGCAGACGGTGGGTTTCTGGAAGGCGGAGCCCTGCATATTCGTCCCAGTGACCTGAGCCCCGCCCGTGTCTTAGGTTAACATTCCATGGATGTTTAGTGACCCGGGTTGTCAATGACTAAAATGTCCATGCCACCCTGCCTTTTCTTTTTCAGTCTCAGTATCCTCATCTTTCTGCATCATCCTAGTAGCTAGCATTTACTGATCACTTCTTATGTGATACACAGTTATAAACACTTAAGAGTGTTAACTTATTTAATCTTCCCTACAACCTACTGAGGTGCTCTTAGTCCTGTTTTACGCTTCAGGAAACTGAGGCACAGGGAGGTTAAGTAATTTGCCAAGGGCCTACCAACTAATATCTGCCAGAATTGGATTGTAGAGACCCCAGATTGCTCGATTTCTTAGTTATATCACACTTCCCTGTTCCAAGTCTTGAAACTTGTAATTTTAAAAATCTGAATCAGTTGTGACCCATCTCCAAGGTTTGAATCGCGGCCCTGTGAGTGTTTGGAACGTGAGGGAATATTCCCAGTAGTGCATTTTGTGAAGCACATCTTGCTATAGTAAATGAAATCCTACTTTACCTTCTTTGGTTGGGACTGTCATTGTTTTGCCTGGTGGTGTTGGCTTGTCTCCTGGCATGACACTGAAACCACATGTATAGTTAATTGGTTGGATGTGGCAGGGTTCAGTATCTCATGGGAGGTATATCGGAACTTTACCTCTGACAACAGTCTTGTGTGTCTTTCCAAACCTTTTTTCTTCCACCTTGAAAAGTGCTTATTTTTTCTGTTATTCTATACCGGATTTGAAATATTGCAGAATTCTTACAGAAGAATTGGGTGCATGAGTACTTATCCCGTCAAAGAAACTTTAAAAGATTATATACATGTACATACTTTTAAAAACCTTTGTGAGAAGTTAGTTGTATAGTACACTGTTATAAAAGAGCAGGCCATCAACTAGGATTTAGGCCAGTGTTTTTATTTTCTTGTTTGTATTTACAGTGAGTATTTTATTACCATGAGATTTGACCCCTGCGACTGCTAAATAGTGTAACAAAATAGTCAGGCTTCGTATTTGACAATCAAATTTTCTGGTAGATCTGTTTATTGAGAACAGAATACTAGAGACGTGTTTTTTCTTGGTTTCTTTATTAGCAAACTAATCAAGAAGTCATATCATAACTATCTCAGAAACAGTATGCTTATTTTATTTCTTAAAAGAAGCACATGTATAGGAAATAGTGTGGTATAATGGATGGATTCAGAGACCTGAGATTAAATCCCAGTTACTCCTTTTGTTAACTGCGAGATTTTGAGCAAGTTACTTGATTTCTCCACACTTACTTTGCTCACTTATAAAAATGAGTATGAGTTTTTTATAAGAATGAGTATTTACTTTTCAGATTTATTATGTGCATTGGAGGTAATATATCTAAAGTTCTTAGTTCATAGGCGAGTTCAGTAAATATTAGCAGCTTTTTAAATTATATTCGTTGTCATTATTATAAAATTTATTATTATTAAGCCTGATAAGCACCTAATAACTGGCATATAATAATATTTTCCCTACCCCCTCCTCCAATCTAAGTCACTGTTGACTATTTATAGAAAATAAACTTAAAAGACAAATTCATAAATATTTTGCAATTAGGGTGTAAAATAGAAAATTAGTTTGAAGTTTTATATGATCACTTGACCTGGTATACAATTAACACTTTATTAAAATGGATAGTTAAGAGATCACTGTACCCTAAAACTTCACTACATTGGATTAAATGGCAGAAACATTAGTTTGATTTGCAGATTTTTTTGGAATTTTGTTAAAATTGAGTAACTCCAGTTACTATTATTAGTCATTAGCTGTTATTCACTTGTTCTACGCAATTCTGGCTTTCAGTTTCTAAAATATTTCTGAATACCTGCTCCAGCGTATGATGAAATATCGTATGTTAACTATACTTTTTTAAGAAGGCATAATTGTTTTAGTAGCTGCATTTATTTACTTATAAGCAACAAATTCATTATCCTTGTTTTCTTAAAGATGCTATACTTTTAATAAAGTTTAACAAAATCTTCATAGTACATAGTTAAAATTGTAAATCATGGTCAAGTAATTATAAAATCTAATTTGCAAAAGAACAGATTAATGAGATTTTATTTTTCTTTGGAGGAAAGGAAACACATCTTTCATCAATATTAATGTCGCTTCTGTGAAATCTATAATAACAGTGTATTTTGCTTACCTTTGCATTTAAAATATTTCGTATTTAAGATCTCATTCAAATCCAGAGCATTTCTGCTCTTTGTCTTATGAAGTTGGTTTAGGTATTTTGTATGTTTATACTTTATTTTGCCATTTTGCTCTATTTTGATATTTAGTTATGTCTTGCTATTTCTTAAGGTTGACCTTCATTCTCAGTAGCCCATTTGTACCTAATTGTGTACTTAGGCCCTCTTAATATTTGATATTTCCTTTTTTTTTTTTTTTAACGTAAATATGTTGACCTTACTTCCTTTCACACACAGATTGTTACACTATTTCTGAAAGAGATTGGTAGTTTTCTTGCTATATTTCTAGACGCCCACTATAGCCATTTCCCCTTGTTCTCCTAACCCCCTCCCTGCACCTATCCTCTCCTCGGAAATAATAGTGGTTCACATTTTAGTGGAAAGTTTTAGATAAATTGCCTTTTCCTTTACTCATGGTAATTTACTTTGTGTAACTTTCAGGGTTAGAATGGCTGAACACAGAAGAGCCTATTTCTGTCTACAAGAATCTATGTGGAAAAGTGATCATCCTTGATTTCTTCACCTATTGCTGCATAAATTGTATTCACCTACTGCCTGATCTCCATGCCTTAGAAGACACCTACTCTGATAAAGGTATCTGCCCTTTAATTGGTTTCTAACAGACTGCCCTGGCATGGGCACTGGAATAGTAGCTGATTCATTTGCCTCATAGGAGAATGAATATTTGGTAAGACTTCAATAATTCTAAACGTAATTTCTAATCTATGAAGATTCTATCTGCCTTTTTGTAAAGAGGTAAGTTTAGTGGTACTGACTTGCCTTCCTAAAGAAATAGCATTTAGTATATGTTTTTCTGTAAGGTTAAGGACGTAATTTACTTTTTTCATAATCAAGTATTTTTAAAAGGTCATTTTGTATATATCTAGACTTACCTAAATTTATTCTATGAAAATTGAAACTGACTAATTTTATACTCTTCTCACTGATATAAAGGTTTAAGTTTTAAAGTTCTTATTAGAAAATGTGATTAGGCTTCCTTTAATTTTGAATGACATGAGCAATATTGGAATGTAAAATATAATGGCTTTCCTTTGACCCTGCGCTATGAAAAAATGATTTATAAAGGTTAATGTCTTCCAAAGCACATTAGGAAATCCTCTTTTACGGTATTGCAAACTCTGAAGCTGTAAGACATTATACTTAGTATTTACTTTAGAAATTTGATTTTTTTTTTCAGATAATTTTTTTCTCATTTTCTAAGAAGAGAATTGGGTAAATGAAACTAAAGATTCTATTTGATTAGGTTTAAATTAATAGAAGCTCTACTCTAGATATGGATAAAAAGGTGAGAGGGTCACTGATCTTGTGAGAATAAACATTTTTGTAGCACATCGTGACAAACAAAAAACAAACTTTTTCTACATACAAATAAACTTCTGAAAAGTAAAATACTTTGTAAGTGGTCTTTTGTAATCTCAAAAAAACATTACTTCAATAATATGCTATTATATGAAAATGCTGATAACTTAAAAGGTTTTTATGTTGCTCAGAAGCTAAGTTTAGTTCATAGTGACAAAAGCAAGCATACCCAGATATTATCACATGAAAGTTCATTAAGCTGTCACTAAATTCATTTGCTTTTTTGGAGCTAAGTGTCTGGTCTTGTTACTATCTGATATGTTCCTGAACGTATTTGCAGCAATGCTAATAGTTCTTGAAGTGACATTCAGCAGCCTATTTTAAATTCCTTGGATTGTTCAGTTCATCTTATCAGTCAGTAAGCCAGGATTGCTCAGCTCTGTGGGGAAGTGCTTATTAATTAAAAAACACCCTGAAAGAGGTCCAGTGTAATACCCAGTCTCCTTCCTCTGTAAAACAGCTTTTAAAGTCAGGTTTGTAATGGTGGCCAGTATCACTTTCACAGTATCATATGAGAAATTATAAATGCAGATGTTTAAAACAAAAAGTGAAAAGATACTGTATTTAATAATAACGAATGATTCGATCTCCAAACATTTTTAAAGAATGTAGCTATGCCCTAAGGTTATTAATTCGTAACAATTTAGTACTTATTTATATTAAACTGAAGGTATCTGGTTTTTTTTTTTCCTTTCCTATTTGAGAGTTCCTAAATTTTTTTTTACCTTTTCATGCTGGATTCATTAATGGTATGTTATAAACAAACTTAGCACAATAACTTATCTAAGGAAAAACACCGTTGTCCTTAGTTGTAAGAAAACAACTATTAGGAAAACTTGGTATATTTTAAAATGTGATTGCTCTGTGTGTGTGTGTGTGTGTGTGTGTGTGTGTGTGTGTGTTAGTGTATAATTAAATCAGACTTTTAAACACCTACATGCCACAACACCAGTGAGTACATGCTGGTATTTGTATTATGTAGTATATACTATTTTTCTGTTTTATGCTTTATTAAAACTTAGAAAAATGCATTTTAAATTTTATAGTGAACCTAAACTTTATAATGCGTCAATATATCATTTCATTTTGTGTCAGGATTCCCAAAACCATCACCAGGTTCAATAATTCTTTAGGAGGACTCACGGATTCAGCATGTAGTTGTGCTCATGACTGTATTTATAGCAAAAAGATAAAGCAGAATCGGAAAAGACGTATAGGGCTAAGTCTAGGGGAGAACAGATGCAAGTTTCCAGAGTCCTCTCTCAGTGGAGTCTCACAAGACGGTTTAACTCCCTTGGCAAGGAGTTGTAACAACATGTTTGAGATGCTGCCAACCAGGGACGCTCAATGGAGACTGCCCAAGGTTTTTATTGGGGGCTGGCCACATAGGCAGCTTCTGCCTGCCTCCAAGTACCAAAATTCCTAGACTCCCAGAAGGAAAGCAAGTGTTCAGCATAAACCACAGTATTTATACAAACAGTTTAGGCATAGTGAGCCCCTCTTATCAGTTACGGGAATGGAAGGGACCCTCCTGAAATCCAGGCAAGGGCCAGCCTTATTGAAAGCAGAGCCTTTGAAATAACAGCAGCAAGGCCTGTTAACTCTTTTCTGCAGACATTGTTTTCTTTTTACAGCAGGCCATGTATTTTTTATTCTGTGTGCTTAAAGTATGAGGAAAATATTGGCCAATTTATGGCAAACTTTCAGAGTGTTTCATGTAGATCCAGGGTAATGTCAGTTTTTGAATTTCTAAAAGATTTTCAAATTTTCTTCTGATCTCTGCTTCAGTGATTTTGATCCTTTAATTTCATGTTTCCATTGTTCTTCTATAAAGTCTAAAATCCTGCATCTCCACACTCTTCTTCCCCACTCCCTTCTTCTCTTCCCGAGGGTGTTCTTGCCTCCCTAGCCTGCCTCAGTTTCTCAGTGTCCTTGTTCCTTTTGCTTGAAGGCCCTGACACATGGTGTTCTCTCTGCCTGGAATGACCCCATCCTTTCTTGCCTAGTAAAGTCGTGCCTGTCTTTTAGATCTCAATATCTGTTTATAGTTTTTGTAACATGTGGAACTCCTCAAATATTTTCAGTCTTTGCATTTAACTAAGTTATTATAGTGCCTATGATTAAACTATTGTATACTATATTATATACGTGTTGTATATATTACTATACACAGTTGTAATTTAGTACAGTTAGCTATAACTCTGAAATTTAAGACCTGAAGCTTTTAAAATGATTTTTAAAGTTATTACTAATCTCTTGGAAGCAGTTACTCTTTTTATATGGTTTCTCTTTTCTGCATTTCCTTCCTTCATCTTCCCTCTCCCCTTCCCCATCTTTCTCTTTTCTCCATCTTCTCCCTCTTTCTTTTCTTTCGTCGTTATTTAATTTAAAATTGAACAGTTTTGATCCTTGTGTTGGCAAAAGAGTCATAAAGTGAAGCATCTTTTACATTTTACTTTTTATTGTGTATGATTAATAGAAAAACAAATATTTTAAGAAAAATCTATACTTACTTTAAAGTTCTTAACTGAGAAAATGGGAGGCATTGTTATTTGACTGTTGTCTTTGTATGAAGATCAATATATTCTATTTAGACAATGATATGGTTTATATTGTCAACGTAAGAACGACCCAACACGCAGAGAATTTTTATGAGAGTTTATTTGAGCCAAACTGATTACATGCTGGGAAGCAAGATCTCAAATATTCTAGAGAATGACAGTTTTGCAGTTCTTTTTATACATTTGCAGTTAAGGAGGGAACATAGCAAAGTTTACATTAAGGTGGGAGAAAGCAAAGCAGAGAAATCTTTATGACTGGATTATAAGGTCATGTGTTCCATTGAGGGTGGTTATGGCTCTGAGGGGCCTGAAAAAGAAGATTACTCTGACATTTCAAAGGTATATTAACTAGAAGCACAAGAACAGTGGACAAGGCTGGCTTGAAGCAAAGAAACCTTTTTACAGGCCTGGAGCATGGCTACCTACCATGACCTGCCCATTTGGGAATTTATGATCAGATCACCTTGTGAAGTTACTTTAGGTCACTGATTTATTACAGAGCCCCTTTTTCATTCACAGTATACTATACAAATATATAAATTTCTTTAGTATTTGTGTCCTGTCCATTTATTTCCTACTATGTATTAGTGAATAGTAAAACATGCATAGTCCCTAAATAATAGGAATTACAGTCTAACGGAGAAGACTTATAATCAGATAATCACACAAATATTTTTGTAATTTCTGATTAGTGCTGAGAAACAAAATTAGAGGGTGCTATGAAAACAAATAATGGTGTTTACCGTAATCTGGAGAAATTAAAGAAAGCTTTCTTAAGAGTAAAATTGAGTTTGAGATATGTAAGTATGGCTTTACTAGCTGAGAAAGGGTAAAAGCATTCCAGGCCCAGGGACTAAGTGTCAAGGCCTTAAAGCAAGAGGAATAATGACGTTCTTGAGGGACTGAAGGAAAGCCAGGTCACTACAACACCCTGAAACGGGGAAGAAGGATGTGGAGAAGATGCTGGAGAAATAAGACTCGGTTTTTATATTAAGAACAATGGAAAGCTAATGAAGGATTTTCTAGAAGAGGGTGACATGATCAAATTTGTGTTCATTAAAATGTTAGTCCAGTTCCTGGGTGGGTAACTAACTGGTGGACAAGAATGGATATAAGAGATATGCGACAAGGCCATTGTTGTGCTCTCTGTGAGACATGATAATAGCTTGAAACAAGTTATAGATGTTAAGATCAACAGGACTTGATCCTGGATTAAATATGCGTGACGAGAGAGGGCTGGTTGGGTATTACAGAGATATCCTAGGTAGGTTTCTGGCTTGTGATGGTGCCATTCAGTGAAAGGAAACACTATAAAAAGGACAAGTTTGGAGGGAAAGGTCATGAATTTAGTTTGAAGTATCTGAGATTTTCACTTCATTTTCAATGAGATTTCCATTGCTCTTAAGGATAAAGATCTAAATCCTTACTGTGACTCAATAAGACTGACCCTATGTGTATGTTTGTTCTTACTTTGTTCCATGTTCCCCTTTATTCTCTGTGTTTTAGTCACTTTAGTCTTCAGTCTCTCTTTCACGTACCCTTTTTTGCATGTGTAGTTTTCTGTCTCTGGAATCTCCTCTATTGCTCTCTTCACCTAGGTGGCACCTTCTCATAGTTCAGATCTCACCTTAATCATCGTTCCTTCAAAGAAGT